GGCTGCTGTAACAAAAACACCACAGACTGAGTGACTTCTAAACAGAACTTTATTTCTCCCAGTCCTGGAGGCTGGGAAGCCCAAGATCATGGCACTGGCAGATCTGGTGTCTGGTGAACGTCTGCTTCCTGGTTCACAGATGGACGGTCGTCATCTTGTCGTGTCCTCAAATGGTGGAAACAATTAAGGAAGCTCTCTGGGGTCTCTTTTATAAAGACACTGATTCCATTTATGAGGACTCCACCTTCATGACCTCCCAAAGACCCCACCTCCTAATAGCCCATTGAGGGTTAGAGTTCAACGTATGAATGGGGCAGGGTGGGGGTGGGTAACAAACATTCAGTGCAGGGCAGATGATGTTCAAGAATCATTAATTGTTAAGGTTTTTAAGTTGTCTACACACACACACACACACACACACACACACACACACACACGATTCTATCTTAGATGTATACTGCAGTATTACATCCAACACACAGAACTGATTGGGCACTGGAGGTGCGAATGAAATGAAACAGGATTAGCCCATGTTAGCTGTTAGAACAGGTCATTATTATGTTCTCTACCACTGTATATATTTTAAATTTTTAAGTAAAAAAATGAAAAAGAACAGGTCTCTGGATTCAGACTTTGGGTTCAATTTCCAGCTCAGCTTTTTACTAGTTTGGACTAGACAATAGAAGTTCACACCTCAGAGGAAGTAATAAGGATTAAATGAGACGATGTAGGTAAAGTGCTTCAAGCAGTACCTGGCCCATGGTTAAGGACCCTAAGATATTGGCCACAGTTATCTCTACTTGATACTCATTATGTTATATTCATGAGATTTACTCTCTTTGTCGAATTTCAGACCTTTTAGAAGTATATGAATTAGGAGAAATTTTAAACTTTAAAAAGGAAATTTATCAAGCCTCATTTCTATGTCCTACACATCACCTATGTTACTCTGTTTTGCAGTGTAAAATATGTACATTATGAGTTCTACACATCATTTTGTAGAACCAAACAAAACTTGCCCAGTAGAAGAAAATCTGAAAAGGAACACTTCCTGAGAAGTAGAATCACCGAGATGGAAATGAGCACTTATGTGGAAACAGTGAGTCATGAAACTATAATAATAGACTTTCTGTTCTTACGTTGTCCTTCTAACTTGGTTCAGAACTTTGAAAACACTGTCTATATAAACATATTTGGTGTCACCACTGACTCACTGAACTTTTGGCAAGCCTCTTGGGCCTCTCATCTTTAAGAGAGTGTAACGTAATCCTGAATTCATATATTCCACCAGAGAACTCCTGTTAAACCTCCTGCAGAAAGGCTTTCTCTCAAAGCACATTACCTTGAATTCACAGTATATTTGCTTTGTACGTCCCTCCAAATTAAGACATTATCATAGGTCACAACTGAGGACACTCCAAGTAGCAGCCAAGGTCAGAGATAACAGCATATAAGACTATATCGTCTCCTGCTCCAACACTGCCCTGTCTACATTCCATTGTCTGAAGGTACATCTGCACTCCCCTCCCCCCGACCTCACTATAGCCAATTTCACCTCCAAGTTCTCTTGCAGCTGCACCTAACTGGTTAATGTGACTACCCTTGGTTTATTTATCCTTTGAGCCTTTACGAAAAATACAACTTTTTATCATAAAATTAGTAAGAATGCATCATCCAAAAATTTATGAAATACAGAGGAAAAAGCCACCCATCATGCCATCACCTTACCACATCATTTTCCTTTTTACTTCTCATTCAACCTGAAATTCCTATTTTTAAGCCAAATGATTCATTAACTTTCTCTTTTCCCCTACACCACCCTCACTCTAGCTGTAGGAAATGCTATGAATCGGAGGGGATACAATTTAGAACGAGCCCAATTAGGGTGGTTCTTTCTGCAGTCTGAGGTCTTTACAAGATGGACTCAACCCCAGAATGCGCGCACCCAGGCCCCCGCCGCCTTCCCTGTGTGTGCTCTTCTCCTTAAGTGAAACACTCTCCACTCTTCACCTCCCTTGTCTGATTTTTCAAAGCCAGAACACATCCAAACTCCTTTCCCCATCATCCTTGGCTGCTGATTTCTAAACCAAGTCATGATTCTCTCTCCTAGCTGTGCTCTGGAATCATCTAATGTTTATAAAATTAGCTACTCCGGCTTTCACCAGACTGAGGATCACCATGTCCAGAACTGGGTGCTGGTTTAACTGCTCCAAGAGATCCAGAGACTCCGAAGGATTTAGATACCATTGTGCCAGCAACACCAACCGTGCTGGTCAGGTCTTGCTAGTGCCATCCTCACCCTTACCGCCGTCAGTACCGTTGCCTCGGTATTTCAAAGAGTAAAGCTCACATAAGACATACCTGTTTGGTTTCCAGCTCACCCTATTCCTTGCTTCAGGAACACTGGCCTGTTTTCCTCTAATGTATGTTCTCTTTTTTGTAACATCCATGAACCTTTTGGTTGGCCTTCTTAGAGCAGTGGTTCCCCAACTTTGGTGTGCATCAGAATCACCTGGAGGGTTCATGTGAACACAAGTTTCTAGGCCTCACTCACAAATGTGTGATGCAAGGATCCTGCAAATGTGCATTTCTAACAAGTTTCCGATGACATTGATGTACCCAGTCAGGGGGATACAGTCAGAAAATCACTGTTGCAGGTCTGCTCATTGATCCCACAACCTGGGCAACACCTGGCAGCTTCGATGCTGCTAAGTAGCCCTTCCCCCACAACAACCAGACTCCCTTTAATAATCCGTATCTAAGTCACAATACACATCTGACTTCAAGGCAACCAAATCCAATAGATCAGAGCTCAATTATTTGAGCACTTACTATGAGCAAAACATGGTTTTTCATATTACATGTTAGAATTATTAAGGTACATTTTTTTTGTTAGAACATAAACCTCTGACCCTAATTTGAGAAAGGCATAGTAGCTCTGCTCTCAAAATGACAGGGTTCTTTATTGAGAAGTTCTGCTTTACCGAACTCCAGCTCATAATGATGGCCTTTGTTTAACTTCCACTGAACTTGATTCCTTACATTTTAGTACTAAGTTATCTTTGCCTTGTTTAAGTGGGTTCATTTTATCCCCTGAACCAGAATGCAGGCTGTGGAAGAGAGGGCTATGTGCGCCCGCAGTGCCGCACATGTGATCAGCACTCAGCCCCCATTGGCTGACTCACCCCATCACTTCCCAACAGGCATTTCCTAACTGGGGCTCCCAAGAGGGCCATGAAGTGCAAGAACAGTCTCAGCCAGTAGGAAAACAGACTTCCAAGCCAACAGACTGATGGGTGTTTTAGTCACTCTCTTGGATTATGCATTTTTCTTTGCCTCATTTTACCTGGATAACAGATCTGACCACACCATGACGAATCATCAAGAGGAAACACTGCAGATAGCAAGCTGGGGTTAGCAGTGAACCCACACTGTTGCCAGTAACAGCCCAAACTTTAGAGGACGGTAGGACTAGAAACTGGAAAATGAAATTCTTTTTGTTCATCTTCCTGTAAATGTCCCTAGTAATTCCTTTATAGATGTCAAAACTGGATCAATTTCAAGAAGCAAGAGGGAAACTGAGGTTCCTGACACATTTAAAGGGTGATTTCAACCAGACTCAAAGAGATTACTGACTCTCATATAAACTCCACCACACTGTTCTCAAATGATTCTAATTCATATTTTTATAACCATTTTACCCAATTCTGTATTTTCCAAATTAGAATGGTTATTTAACAAGGACTCCTAAAGGTGCATCATGCTGCCACCTCATAATTTCACAGCCGCGGGCTCCCAGACTCTCCACCCTCACTGGATCCAACGTGCCTGGGCCACCACTCCTCTCCAGCAAAGCCACAACCCCCACTCCACACCACCCAGCCTCCCCTTCCTGGTGTTGGCAGGAGCTTAAAGATGGGGTGTGGGGAAACCGCAGAGGAAGGTCCAGAAAAAGGAGATGAAGCGTACCGTTCAGGTGCTACGACCCTGTGGTTCTGTCCTCATGATCCATTCGGAGCTTGCTCTGATGGGGAACTCAAACCTCACAAGTCTTTTTGAGAAATGAAATGAACAACAACAGCAAACTGGGCTGTTATTGAAATAAAAGAGAAAATATGCTAGACACACTACCTACACCTTAGCACAAAAAATAAATTTAGATAGGTACAAATATCATACTTTTTAAAAAAGTGACCCTTAAAATGTATACTTTTAGAGAAGAAACACCCACCTATAACATTCCATCTAGTGACAACTGGTCAGTGAAAGATAAAATTGACTAATTTCTTCTCTAGACATAATTTTTAGAATTTTTCATTTATCCAGATATTAAATGTTATGCTTTGGTCAACACTTAAATGCTATATAAAATGCACTTATAAAACTCAGTATCTTCATGCAAACTCTATTTTTAGACATGGAGTACCCTTACTAATGGCCAACGATCTACGGCACATATTTTAAGGAAGCCCCCCCACCCCACTCTGTTTTTTCATCCTCTAGATGAACAAAGAAAACCTGAAGTGGGAGTGATTAACTTGCCTGGGGAAATGCCGGAACTTTGCTCTTCTGAATTCCTAAGTAGCACCAAATATTTGGGTGAGAGAATAAACCAATGATACAAAACAAGGTTTCTCAACCTTAACAGTACTGACAGTGTGGGCCAGAGAATTCTTCGCTACGGGAGACTGCCCTCTGCTCCACAGGAAGTCTAGGATCACTAACCCTGGCCTCCTCGTTACACGTCAGAACCACCATCCCACCACCTTGGTTGTGACGCTGCCAAATGCCTCTCGCAGGGGCAAATCATCTCTGGTTCAGAGCCACTGTTATAAAGCGATAGAGGAGGCTAACGTCCAAATATAGGGATTCGTTCAAAACCTGTGGGGCCATCATTTCCCTGGAGCGCCAATTTGGTTTCTTATACTATCTCAAAGTTTCTCCCAAGTTTCTTATTTCCTAGTGGAATAAATTCCTCAAGGTACAAATGACACTCCAGAGACAAGAAGAAACGTTTATTTTACCATCCAATTATTTTCTTAAAAAAATTTAATTTCTGATAAAATAAAACAAACTTTTAGTACCATAGAAACCTTTCGACACACACAAACGAGGACATATTATTACTATGTACAACTTCAAAAACAAATGTTTCCAGCTCTAAGTACGGTGATGTTGAACACCTTGACTATACCCAAGCTGTAGGAAATTTCCTGGATGGCCAATGTTTTCCTTGGCTTGGAAAAAAAAATCATACAATTAAAAAATATAAATAAGACCTTCAATGAGTTAAGAATCATAAAAATGCCTTCTGAAGCTCGGTCATCTGGATCTTAGGGAGTATGGAGTAGTTCTAAGAGTTCAACAAGCAAGGTGAAACCCTGTGGCTATTCAAACACGAGTATTGCAGGAGAGGTCCTGAGGTTCACAGTTGGTCTATCAAAAATAAAAGCTATTCTTACTGTGGTGAACTTGGTTTCTGGTTCATATACCATTCTTCACCAGCTCGTGGACTCCATTCTCATCAATGATTAAAGGTGCATGGAATTCTTTATCTGCCACATAGCTTTCTATTCCCTGAAAGAACAGAGGAAATGAAACGAAACATAGCTAGAAAATTAGTGGGCACTAGTCCTACAAGGCTGGTCTTCGTGACCAGAATGAAGATAGAAAGCATGGATGCCAAAAAGTTGGGTGTAAATGTAGAATCTGAGTCAATAAAAATCTATTTCATATACTTTTTAAACTGGGCTTAATGACCAATTTATAGAATCATAAAACAACAAAGAAAGGAAAATTACTCTGATTATAATTTCTAAAGTTAATACGATGTGAGTCATTCTTTGGTTAACCATCACCCAAGAGAGTTAACTTTCTAAGCAATGTGGCTGTCTCTGATGCTGAAATTAAGCAATCTGACAAGGATCTCCAGAAAAAATATTCCATATTAGAAGAGTAACCCCTAAATCTCCCAGTTTTAAAAGTGAGAGTACCAAGTATATGAACAAAATAACCCTTTGAGAGGAAAAATGACCCTGTTTTCAAAAGCCAGACAACCCACAAATACAGAGAACAATCTGATGGTGGCGGGGAGGGGTAAGGGAACGGGCAAAATGGGTGAAGGAACATGGCAGGCAGAGGCTTCTGGGTATGGAATGAGTAAGTCATGGGGACAAAGGGTACAGCATAGAGAATATATATAGTCAGTAACATTGTAATAGCATTGTATGGTGACAGATGGTAGCTACACTCGTGGTTGGCACAGAATGTGTAGACTTGGTGAGTCACTATGTTGTGCACCTGAAATTAACATTGTGGGTCAACTGTATTTCAATTAAAAAAAAAAAAAAAAGAGGTGGCTGATTTATCTAAAACACAAGGTTGATTTTTTTTTTTTTTTTCTGAAAGACCATTGCATTTTGATGTGTCAGTGAAATGGATTAAATTACGAAACACTCTATTTGTGGCAACTAACTACTTGTGGGACAGATGCAAAGCCATTAACAGGAATTCTCAAAGAGAAAAATTCAGAACAAATGAACTTCTTTGCTCACTCCCAGGATAAGCAGGGCAGAGGACTGGGAAATAGGCAACTCTACTTAAATATGAAACAGTCTCCAGATCAGATCCTATCATTAAAAAAAAGAGGGGAAAAAAGCAAATCAAACTTACCTCTCCAGCATAGGAGATAAGTGGGGAGATTTCACACTGAATTGGTACATCATTGGCATCCTTCAAGCTAAGAAAAAAACAAGCATGTTAAAGGTTTTGCTTCTCACGTTACTGCCAGAATGAAAGTATAGACCATCACCTTCCTCTGAGAAGCTTGCAGATAATCAAATTCTCCCAGTTAGACAAACAGCCTCTATCCTGAAGGTCACCAAATTCCCTGCAGATTACGTAAACATGAATTTGTCATGGTCCAGATGACACTATTTGGGGCAAGTGCCAATAATTACCAGTAGGTCTTCAAAGCACTTCACCTATATTGATATGCTTATCTGCTAATGCACATCTCATTTTTTATCATTTCCAACTTTTACTGTGATAAGGGTGGACTATTTATGGAATATAAACTACAGTTCAGGCCCACTGCTAGGTACTGTGAATCCTTCCTATTTCCCATCAATCCTAGCCCCAACCTTGAGCGTAAGTACTACTACGGACAAATGTTCTAAAACTGCACTGGCCAAAATACACTGGCTACTGGCCACATGTGGTTACTTCAACTTAAATTAATTAGGAATTTTTAAATGAACAAAAATTTTAAAATTCAGTTCCTCAGTCATTAAAACCACATCTCAAGTGCTCAGCAACTGCCAAATCAGACGGCAGCCACAGATTACTTCCTTCCCCACGGGAAGTTCTACCGACAGTACTGCTCTAAAGGTCAGTTATCTCCCAATACAGATTTTCTATACAACCCACACCTCCTAGATTAGCTGAGCTGATTTATTCAAGGTTTCAAAGTGCTTCTCTGCTACTTTTGCCAAAGTCTCTTTTCAAAGAGCTAAGACAGAATGCTACCCAAGCAAAGGCAAGGCCAAAGTCACCATCTGCTCTCTCCAGGCCACATTCTAACATACATGGCCAGTCAATCCTGAGTTTCTAAAAGTCTCTAAGTTTTTAATATAAAAGTCAATAAATAATGTTTTTAATATGCATAAAGGCACTAGACCTCTAGCTTTTTCCACCGGTAGGATATAGAGCACAGAAAAGCTAGTCTCGGGGAGCTTGGGTGGCTTAGTCAGTTGTGCCCAACTCTTGATTTCAGCTCAGGTCATGAACTCGGGGTCGTGGGATAGAGCCCCGAATTGGGCTCCATGCTGGCTGGGCGTTGAATCCCGCTTAAGATTCTCCATCTCCCTCTGCCCCTCCCCCTCCTGCTCCGCTCTCTCTCTTAAAACAAACAAACAAACAAACAATCAATTAGTCTCTTACAGCCTCAACCCATTGCTCTCCTTTGTTTTACCAAATATGCATCTGAGGCTTTGGTGCAGTCAATAAAATCACAGGGCTTCTGAGTTTAGCGATGCCCAAACTTCTCTAAACAGAACTAGGTAGTTTAAATTCAAGGTGCTCTATATCCTACTCCCACTTACTTATCCCACTACTTTCCACTCAAAACAGACCAGCTGCACACACTTTGGATTATTCCAAGTCACTTGCAACTATGGTCAAAGAAAAATCTGGACTATCCAAATTACAGCCTTCCTCCAAGATCTGGCACAAGCCCCTTCCTCCCTTCACTGTTGTATTTTGTAGTGACTGCTCTCATTTACTTCATAAAAAAACTTTAATAGTTATCTGCCAAGTCGCTGCCCCTTAAATCATAGTAAGTTGATATTTATACCATACATTAACACATAGACAGATACTGCCTGATGTTACTTGGCTTTCATGCATCTAGCCCTCCCAGCAGGCTGTCAGAAAGGACTCATTTCTCTTGTGAAAGCTACTCCAGCACCCAGACACCAGCAGCACGTGCAGGTCCGTGAGCAGACCTACAAACGTCTGTTGGCTGAATGAATAAATGGACTATGCGGGGGCAGACAGGTAACGGACTAACCTGAAGAAAAGACAAATTAAAGATGTGCCACACATCTGCCCAGATATGTGTCAGATTCTAAAAGAGTTCAAGAAATCTGGTCCAGACTCTCTGGGGCAGCTTGGACTCAAATTAAACCAAATGGGAAAAATAAGGACCCAGTCCACTGATAAGATAGTCCAGTCCCACCAGAATCCCTCCCAGATTTGCTGTGCCAGGATCAGAAGGTGGATTTGAACCCAAGGAACACAAGGCTGACCTAAAATATAACTTCTCGTCAAAGTACCACAAAGATACTGCAAGAAACTAAGAAAGTCACTCTTAATAAACAAAGTTGGATACCCAGAAGGAAGACAGAAGCTACTGTCACCAAATGCAAAATCTCAGAAGATATGCAACTTAAACCAATAACATATTATCCCCCAATTCTTTAGCCAAGCGGACTTTCAGTAACTAACTGGTCTGTAAGTGCTGAGATAAAAAATAAAAATAATGTCACTTGGTCAAAACTCAGCATCCTTGCTTCCGCTCTTTGAGAATCATCTCCCAGCTGTTTCTTCCCCCTTTTATACAAAGTACTTCGTTGTCATCTCTCATTTTTCAATAATCTTTTTTTACTCTCGAGGATATCACTTAGAGACAGAAATCATTCCTGCTGAAATTAAGTCTGCGATCTCATTTGGGGCCAAACTTTGATTTATTTAATTAGTCTACAGGTGGCTACAATGAAGTGAATGAGGGGGACCGAGGGGTATGGACTAAATAAGAGAAGCCAAACAAGAATGTCTGAAACACTTCGTGTCTTGCCTGAGACAGCCGGATGTTGATTTCAGTTGCATAATTAAGAAACTATTTCACGTTTGAGGTTAAAAGCATGGTTCAGTGAGAGAAATTTGGGGTCAAAAATCCATTTCTCAAATTCTAAAAGCAACTTGCCTCCATATATTAAAATGATGGAAGGGGCAGAAAATAACAAAGCAGTCTGCATCCAGTTCTCACGGCACGAAGGCCCACAGTCACCTACGGCTCCTCTGAGAAACTCCCGCATCTCTAAGTCCACTTCCTTGTCTATAAGACAGGGCCACACCAGGGAAACATCGCTACCCACAAGCATCTCTCTCCATGGGGCAAAAGTGAGTGGCAAAGGTAGGGGGAAAAAAAACTACAGGGATGGAAATGACATCCCTGCTGCTCTACTTCTGAGGTAACTCCCATCTCCAGATCCTTTGCCCTGCACACATTTCCCAAATTATCTCCAAAACTTAAAATTCAAACTAAACTAGTAACTTTTCAAATGTAGCAAGAACATCAAGCTGTCTCTTTAGCTGTAAGGATAATGGTTTTTTTCAAACTCTGTCAGCACTGAGGTAAGACAGGATACGGTGCTACTTCTAGCTAAAAATTATCTGCCATTCAGACAAAAAAAGCTTCCTTCTTTGTGAGCAGGATAATGACGGACTAAAACTAACACCAAGAGGGAGCTGTTAGTATGAGAAAACATTAAGAGAGCCGTTTCCTCCGTATCAGGAGCCATCAGGTATGTCAGAGGCAGTCAGCCTTTCTGCTGTGAACACACATCCAACCCAGGACGACGCAGCTTCCACAGGTGATGCTCCTCTAGCTTCTGCTGGGATCCAAATTTGTTCTCCCTGGCCTGTAGCCTGCCCAACACCCTACCTGTCGCTCGTCAAGCTGTCCCTGCAGACTGAAACGTCCACGGTCAGGTCTTCAGTAAAGCATGCTCCCACTTCCAGCATGCACCGAGACACTGATGTCATCCAGACAGACACCTGCCACCAAGGAAGCACAGTCCGCCCCCCCCAAAGCTGCGGCCATCCACCACCCCCAGACCACCGAGAGGCAGAGCGCTCGACTACGATGCCAGTTAGTACAGAGGGAAGCGCGGCCCGTCACCATGCACTGCAGGCAGGCTGGGATATTTACTTGAGATTGACATCAGCTGTGATGGTCTCTGACTTTCCATTTGTAGCACTGCTATGTAGGAACAAATAAGCATTAATGGGAATGGAAAACAAATCAAACAATAGCAATGAAATGAATTGCAAAATATACTTGACCGCAAAGGCATGTATTTATGGTAAATTATAAACTTGGCAAAGGAAATCTGAAGGGTAAAAACAAACTCAATGGCCAACGATGAAGCACGAGGACATGACATGCTACAGAGCAGGGCTGCTGACCACACCGAGCCCAGAAGCGGCTCTGTTGGCCGCTTACCGCGGCTCCTTCCCAGGAAAACACAGTCCTGGGCCACTGAGCTCCAAGGCCCAGGGCCCTGACACGGACCGAGGCATGCCAGCGTCTGAGTGCACGCAGCCCGCCATTCTACCCTCAAGAATATAAATGATAGGCCAGAACGTTTTTGGCAGAAGTACATAAATACCAAATGATTTAGAAGGGGGCCATTCTAGGTGCCAACAAAGGTTTTCTCATAAAAGAGAAGACTGAGCTTAAAAATGCTTTATCTCAGATTTAAATAACTAGAAGTACCTTCTTTTTTTAAGTTTTAAAAATCCCAAAACATTTCTAAAGTTTGAGTACCCGGAATATAAGTGCCATTCCCCTCCCCTGCCAGCATCTCCCTCAGCAACCATGAAAGCACCATGGAAAGAAGGACGAGGGGCCCGCGTCTCCTTCGCGGCCTGGGGGCAGTGGGTCTGCAGCAGGAGTGGGGGTTCCACACACACAACGGAGTGGCAGTGCCCGGGAGAGTGTGCTCCTGATGGCCTTTACCGCACGGCACACCAACAGGATTCCCTCCTGACCATTCCTCAGCGAGACTCGTCCACGGCGTGGTGGACGTGTGTCCAAAACAAGGGATTCCTCTTTAACAGGAAGGAAAGTGATCGTTCTCTTTGTAATGGACCAGGCGGTCGGTATACCACACCAGGACTGCCCACGTCAGTACTATGCTTTTTTAAAAAGATCTAGGAATAGGTCAGAGAGAGAGGAGAAAAGTCCGAGAAGAAAAGTCCAGAAAGTGACGCACGCCAGAGAAGTGACACTGACTTACCGGGGAATGGCTGGGAGGCGAGAGCCATTTTCATCGATGAAGTGGCCCCCTGCGTTGAGGACCCAGCAGTGATGAAGGGACAACAAAGCATGCCTTGCAGTGGTAGGATTGTCCTTCCCGTTCTGACTGTCTGCATTCTTGAGTGGGGAAAACTCATCTTCTCGTAGCACTTCATACACCACAAACTTCCTAGAGTGGAACCACACAGAGACCGCTCTAGCAGGAGGGAAAACTGCAAGCACGGGGGCTCTGACCCCTCTCTACGGGGCTAAGCCCCTGGTCCCTAGTCACAGGCATTCTCTCAGATGAAAGCCGGAATAATGCTTGTCCCTGCACTAAACGAAGTTGGAATTCCCTTCTCCAACGCAAAATGGAAAATTACTTTCATCCCAAACTATAAAACACTTCCTCTTAAGTCAGAAAGGTCAGAAATCTTCATGTCAGTTACATTAGAATCAGCTCTGGGGGAGGGGTAAAAAAAGGATGACTGAGAAATGCTTATGGCAAGATTAATCTTACACAGCTCATCTGTCTTGTGCATTTTCATACTGGCCAAATTCTGAGACACATACCTCAACACCAACTGCGATCTTTGACAGAGAGCTATACAATCTAAAACCACGTTCCCTGAAACATTTACGCACAGGTCAGGAAGGCATCCTACATACAAACTGGGCCAATTCTCTAGCTCAACCATTTTAGTCTCTTAGCCAAAAGAAGTGACAATTTTAACAAAATTTCAGTTTTGCAGGACTCAGATAATGGACTAACCGACCTAAAGAAAACATTCTCACAGGCAACTCACACCACACTCCGGGGCTGGTGGTGCCATACTAGATAATGATAATGAGCCTAGACAGGACACTCACAAATCAGAAGGCCATACCTGACTATATGCGACCCAGTGTCTCCTAAAAACAGTGCCCTGCTGAACAGAGTAAAAAGCAACATCTCAAGACCTGTCTCTAACCCTACTGGTGCTGCTCAGAACATACTTTGCAAACTGGAAGATGTCAAAGACAAATTTTTCCATCTTTATTCCGTTTGGCTTGTCTGGCTTAATTAACTGCCCCTGGGAATCCACATATGGAATCTTCTTTTGAGCCACATGGTGCTGCAACTGAGGTTCATAAATACTAAGTAGGAAGAAAAAAAAAGATATAATCACTTTCCAAAGTTAAAATGCCAGAAAATCTGATAATCACACTCAGGAACAAATGCATCAACAACCAGTACTAAGATTTTCAAAGCAAAGTGCATCTGTTAAGTTTCGGTTCGTATTTAAACATTAGATGAATAGATTTCCCAATTTACCTCCTTATATTTTTTAAAAACTCCTATCATGATCTCCACATTAAAGAATATATACCACATAGCTCACACCAATGTCTTTCCCGTAATTCCCCTGTCTTCCAGAAAATGGTTCTCTTTGCCCCAACTTTCCCAACTGAGAGCCCCTAAAGTGTGGAATGGAAAAGTATTAATAAGTTACTATGGATGCATTAATAGCACGGCTACAGACAGCACAGTGGAATGGGAAATATTCCAGAACTGGAGTCAATATGCTAAAGTAAGGCTAAGTAACTTGTTTTAAAAGGAGATCGTCATCGTGAATGTCTAAAAGCTATCAAATGAAGAAACAGATAGAATGCCCTTCATTTAACAGACCTCCAGAATAAAGTAGCTCTTACTATATTCTTTTATCCTACCATGCTAATTTCCATCCAGGGCTCAAGTTCTTTTTTCCTGACCCTCAAATGCACTAGTTCCTAAATGCTAGTCTGGGAACTGGCTAAAATTGTTGGGCAGCTTCTCAAAAATACCAGTGACCTGCATCTACCACCAGAAATTCTGATTCGGTAGATGTAGGGCAGATCTTTACTTTTTTTCTTAAAGCTTCCCATTGTGGTAGAGAGACCATACTTCATCTCTTACTCTCCGCTTCCCCAGAACCTAACACAGTCAGAGGGAGAAGAGGAAGTAAACGGGAGGTGCTCTGGACGGCAGGCAGAGCACTGAAGGACAGAGTCCTCCAAATCTACCCCTGTAATGCACCTTCCCAAGAAACAACTACAACGTGAGAAAAAGTTCCATTTGGTAAAAGTGATCCTCAGGGGAGAAGATGAATTCTGTAGAATCTGGACTTGGGGTGTCTTACTACTTCTCAAGTGACTCAGTTCCTGATTACCAGTACAAGAAAAATTTTAAAAGCCCCCGTCTCGCGCATACTTGACAACATCTCTCAGAAACGGCACAGTGAAGAAATGGTTGGCGATGTTCCCCGCGTTGAAGAGCAGGCGTCCGTCGGAGCCTCGTCTCTGAGCCGTTGCCAGGGAGATCTCACTGTACTCCACCACCTGGTAGACGCCATCCACTCGGCAAACCACTCCCACCGGCTCCGTCGGGTTCGTTTTCTCCACCACCTGCCCAAAGAAAGACAGCGCAGCAGAAGAAATAGAGTCAAATGCTACACTGGACATGTGCCGTTTGCAAAGGCCACATCTGCAGTTTTGCTTATATTGTCTTCAAGCAAAGGAATCTTTAGGTGTAGACAACTACCTGTCCATCTTTATATTTTCTGGCAGACTACTGTCCAAATGGAAATGAAGTTAATTATCTCCTTCCTATTTATCACCTCATGAAACTGTGGAACAGAAATTCCATCCTATACACAGAGCCCAGAGGAAGTCACACTGGACTGGGAATAATTAAATGAGGAGTCTACCTCCCTCCAAATATGCTTTATTTTAATCAGTTTATCCTTAACTACACTAACCTGCTTCCAGAATAAATGAAATTTCTCGGGGAGACACGACAAAAAGTATGGCATCTTGCCTCTCATTTGGTACTGTCCAAATCATTTCATTTGAAAACAGAGGTTGTTTTTTTTTTTTTTTTTCATTTTCATTCACGAATACAGCATGTTCCTTGCTTTTCAGAGACCTGGCCAGGAGGTAGGGGGCATGAGTGCAGGCAAGTCACTGGGGTCTGGCTCCAACTTCAGTCAGAGAAGCCCATACGATATTTAACTGTTTCGCATGCTAGAAGAGTTTCTATGCTTTAAAAAAAAAAAAAAGTTTGAAAACCTGTGATTTGATACTCTAACAATGGCTCTAGGCTGGTGGGGGTGGCTGAGAGAAAGGTGTATATCAAAATCACAGGGAAAAACAGGGGTGCTTGGGTGGCTCAGTGGGTTAAGCGACTGACTTGATTTCGGTTCAGGTCATGAGCTCATGGGTCACAAGATCGAGCCCATTAGGCTCCATATTCAGTGTGGAGTATGCTTGAGATTCTCTGCTTCTCCCCTGACTCACATTCTCCCTCTATCTCCCCTAAAATAAAGAGAAGTTCAAAGAAGATATCACAGGGAAATATAGAGTATGTAATTTTAAAAAAACCCTCACATGTGACTCTGATACCTCACCACCCTAATCCAACACAGCAATGACCTAAATCAAGTGTTTAGAAGAAAATCACCGGACAACTGGGTGTGATACACTAATATAAAATCAAGATTCCTGGGGCGCCTGGGTGGCTCAGTGGGTTAAGCCACTGCCTTCGGCTCAGGTCGTGATCTCAGGGTCCTGGGATCGAGTCCCGCATCAGGCTCTCTGCTCAGCAGGGAGCCTGCTTCCCTCTCTCTCTCTCTCTCTCTCTCTCTGCCTGCCTCTCTGTCTACTTGTGATCTCTCTCTGTCAAATAAATAAATAAAATGTTTAAAAAAAAAATCAAGATTCCGATGAGATGAGTATCCAACGGAATAAACAAATAACTGCTTTGTTTGCCCTGTTCAGTGACCAACTCAGCATGCTTCAGAGTAGTCTGAAAACTTGGTCCTCAATTTGAAAAGATCCTAAGAAATTACATCAATAAAGCTAAAACTTTTCTTCAGCAACTGATTTCTTAAAATAAATCCAGCCAGCAGCAGTTTCCTCCAGACAACCAAAGCCACTACTGCCCACGACACAGACCCAGCAGTCAGAGCTACGGGCCCCGAGTCTAGCTCAGTGAGGCAGGGCTCCTGGGTACGCAGGGCTGCTGTGTGCTTTCACTGTCTGCCAGCCTGAAAGGAGCACAGTATTCCATAAAAAGAAACCTTCTACCAAAGAAGTGAATTACGTTGGGGGGAAACATACAACCAAATGATTTAAATCTATCACAGGCCTATTTGCAACTACCGACTCCTCACCACCTCTCACTTCACATATTCCTCAGTGGGGGTCTCACTAGACAGGGAAACTGGAAGATTCCTCTCATTCCCACTTTTCCAGTCACCTCCATAGGCCCCTACTCCTGACCAGCCACAGGAAACAAAACTAAGCATACTCACACTTTCCACTGCCCAAGTGTTCATCTGTCAGTGAGAGTTCCTTCTTTGTGTGTGTTTTCTTTCGGGGGGAGGGCTTGGGGAGGAGGGAGGCAGAGGAAGAGAGAGAGAATCCCAGGCAGGCTCCATACCCAGCACAAAGCCCAATGCAGAGCTCCATCTCAGGACCCTGAGATCACGACCTGAGCCAATATCAAGACTCAGAGGCTTAACCACCAGGAGCCCCTGAAAGATTTCCTTCTATGGCAACTAGGAGCCTCCAAATATTTTAAGTCTCGATTACAAAAGAAAGCGTTTGTGAACTGTGTAAACCAGAAGTCAAGTTTATATGCCACAGAAAGTTAGACAGTACAAAATTTAAAAGTTTGCTTGATTTTCTCCAGCTTCAATCCTGAAAAGCTCAGTTCAAATAACACTTTAATGTCATAGTTACTGTAAGTGCTTTACAAAGTGACCTTTAATTAACAGTGATTCCTACCCTTTTAGCTTTGTAGTTCTGTAAACCACTGCAGTCTCCGTCTTTTCTCAAGCCTGTCACTCCATAAAAAATACTTAATTCCTTAACTCACAAAGACCAGAGCCTTTTAAAGAAGTAAGACAAATTATTCTACTACCATACTATGAATAACTCCCTAACTTCAGTGTTCTTAAAAATGTATTTTGATATCTTGATTCTGCAATTAAAATTAAAAGGGTGGGAGGACAGATCACATAGACGGTTTCTATCATTTCTGAAAGTTTTTAACACATACCATTCGTGTCATATTTGGGTTCCATCTGAATATGTAGTCACTTACTGAGTGACTTCTACATTATGTGCCAGACACAGAGTGAGCAGGAAGCCTGAGGCTCCTGGAGAACCAACAGGTGATGGAGAAGAGTGACTGGTCACACCCTTGTCTCCGTGTGACTAGTAAACTCACAAAGGTTAGCACACGGAAGTTTTTTAAGCTGTCAGCAAAAGCCTCATCAATCGAAAGAGCTTAGTTTTATAATGTGATAGGATACTAAAGCTAGGAGTTGGGAAACATGAATTCTAATCCTGCTTCTGTCAGTGTGATGAAGGACCTTGAGTCTGGAACTTACTCAGAACCAGAACTCAGGGTACTCGGTTCTGAAATCATAGGGGTTGACCAGATGGTTGCTGAGGTTCCTTCCAGGTTCATCGCTCTGATCAACTAGTACTTAAATGGATCTGAAGCTCAGAGCAGTAAAATTTAAGTTTCTGTTTTAGAATGAAGAGTGACACCAAGCGGAGCAGAGTCAGAAATACAGTCTAGTTTTTTCCTTAAAGCTTAGTAGCTATTTACAATGCACTATTTTTCTATTACAATTTAACAGCTATTTATAGTATAGAGTATTAGAGCAGAGAGGTCTTAAATAACCAAACCAACTTTTTTATTTTCTGAGTCCAGAAGAGTCTTATGAGGTCCACCAGCTTAATCTCACAAAACCTGCACTGGTAAATTTAAAACTCCAGCTTCTATGACTCTGCCATAGATTTCAGATTAATTTTAAGAGAAATGACATTTTTATAACAGAAAATCTCCAACCAAGGCTATGGTATGACTTTAATGGCAGTTCACCTTTTTAAATCCAAATATTTCAAATTTATATCTAGGCTAATTTGTTTTTGTCAGAAACCTGTATATGGTTTTTGTTGTTGGCAGAAAGGTCCTCCCTTCATGTCAATATTGTAAAATTATTCTCACTTTTCTTCTAACACCTTTCTTTTTAAAAAGATTTTATTTATTTATTTGACAGAGAGAGAGATCACAAGTAGGCTGAGAGGCAGGCAGAGAGAGAGGGGGAAGCAGGCCCCCTGCCGAGCACGGAGCCCAATGCAGAGCTTGATCCCAGGACCCTGAGATCATGACCTGATCCGAAGGCAGAAGCTTAACCCACTGGGCCACCCAGGCACCCCTCTTCTAACACCTTTATGGGTTTTTTATATTGAACTTTGTAATCCATTTGAAATTGATTTTGGTATGAGCTTTGAAGGAGACCGCTTACTTTATTTTTCACCAGGTATCTCATTCATTTCCCCCACCGATTCGAAATGCCTTGTTTTTCTATACTGTATTCTTTATGTATACATGGACTTACTTCTGACTGATTCACAGTTCCACTAATCTGCCGTTCTCTCCTGGTTTCTGTACTACACTCCTAATTATCTTTTATTTACAACCCAGTTTAGTACCTGGTAGACCGTCTCCAACCCTCTTCCTGCCGTATCACCTTTTCTTGGCATTTTCCTGCCACCTTTACATGTTTTTTTCTAAACTTTACAATCATTCTGTTAATGTCCCTAAAACAGTCTCATTGGAGCTTTAACCAAAACTATGTTTACTTTAATTTGGTAAAAACTGATAGTTTTACAGATTTCCAGAAAAGCAGTATTTCTATTAATATTTTCAAATCTTCTGAAGTGTTTTCATTTTCTCTTCTACTCCTAGATACACGTTTCATTAGCCACCATACAGGCAAGTCTCCTACATCATCATCTATGCAACTAAAAAAATACTGAAAAGGAATACCTCCCTCCAATTTCCTATCAGTATATTTGTGGTCAAACAATTACTAATCTCCTTACTGCCCTGCCCTTAATTGCACATTTCCATCTTAATCGTAAGACTATCATGAGGTTGCTTGTCAAATGCTTTGCTGAAGTCTCGATCTGCTGTTCCCTCTATATTTCTCTTACCTCCTACTCCAGCAACTCTGTCATAGGAAGAAAGAGGCTAATCTGATCAAATACGACTTGATATTAACGAACCCATCCCAGGCCTAGTGACAATCATTCACTTCCCCAGGGACTTACAAATCATCCACACATATTTTGCTTTAAGATTTTACTTATTTGAGACAGAGAGAGAGTGACAGAGCAGGGGTGCACATGTGTACATGAACTGGGGGAGAGGGAGAGAGAGAACATTAGGCAAGCCTCACGCTGAGCGCTGAGCCAGACACCCCGAGACAGTGACCTGAGCAGAAATAAGGAATCGGACACTCAACCCAGGGAGCCACGCAAGCCTCCCATGTGCACGTATGTTTGAACTCTAACTTGCAACGGACAAGCGTGCATTATTTCTAGAATCAAATGCTGCCAATGTAAGAGAAAGAGCAGGTCGGGGATAGCTCCGTTACCTGAGAGAGAGAAATGGCTCTAACGCATTCCAATCACATTCCAATCACCCAGACGGTTCCAGTTCAAGTCCTGAACAAACGAGCTGACAGGGCAAGCTGCCGACCTCACTACAGCTGAGAAAGGCATTACCTTCGCACCGCAGTCTGCTCCTTTCTGAATGCAAAAGCCAATGAACCGTGGGTCTGCCACTTTTACTAGGATGTTGTCAACACAATAGACATGAATGCTCCAAATGCCTCTCTGCTCCATGTCCTCCACGATATTCTGGGCCGCGAGAGCGCGATAAAGACCACCATTCCCATCTGGGAAATGAAACAGCCCATTAGAAGTGCACCAAAATCCATTATGAAGGTAACCCAAAACTGCTTTACCAGGGTTCATGTTTCCAAAGTGGGGTGAAGATCTCTGAAAAGCAGTTTTATATCACAGGGCCAAGAAAAGTAAATACCCAGAAGGAAGAATTCGGGTGTCAAAAAAATTATACTACATGACTTTCAAAGTAATTTAGTGTTAAGTGTCAAGAGAATAACATTATTAATTGATGTAGGACCAGGCAACCCAAAGACCATGTTTTTCTTCTTAACTCAGGCTTTTTAACAATTTAGCCCATAATACATTATAAAATATAAAGTTCATTCTCAAGCAATGATTATTTCATAACATTTCAAGTTTTATTAATATTTATGCGATTCAAGTTAGCTCTGTTATTTACAGCCCCAACACTGACAATTTCACTCATCTCAAAAATAAAAAATACATGAGCATTTTATACCAAATAATGTGTTATTAGGAAACCAGATTAGTATCAGGTCAGATTTAAAATAAATACAAGCAAAAGCCTCTTCTTTTCCCATCTATTTATAGTGCTGCTCTAATGTACTTCATCTGCCAACACCCGCAGCCACAGCTTAAAAAAATTGGACAACTTCATAAAAATAGACCTAAAAACAGCAAAGTCTTCCATTAATGAGAAAGAATTGAGTAGAAAAAAGGGCTTAAAATGAAATAAAACCTGTACCTGGAGGCTACCACGTTAACGCTCATTTATTTCCTGTCAGCCTCTCCTCCAAATACTCACACAGATAAGAATCTGTCGACACGTTTATTTTCAGAGTTGGGTTCATACTCACCAGGGTTGCTGCGTGTGGCCACACAGCGTGCACCACCCAAGGGCAGGGGTGCCCTTAACACACCACAACGCGCGTGCACCTCCAACAACCATCCAGGGCGGTGGCCCTCACCACGCCAGACACACAGCTTCACGCCTCCCATTCTCTCACTTAGCTACTGACACTACTTCTCTTTGTCATTTAGTATCTCCAATCAATTGTTTTATTACAGTTTGAGAATACTACAGATAAACTGTAATTTACCTCTTGTTTATTAAATAGCAAATGGCTTCCGATCTTTCATTGCAAGAAGTAATGCAGCCATGAACACCGCGGATATAAAATGCGGGGTAAAGAGAATGAACACTCCACAGGCTGCCCAGGTCGTTCTCAAGGGCAGGCATCCACAAAAAATACAAAAGTGTATCCATTCCGCCCATGGGCATATTCTTTGTTTTTAGGTCATTGCCAAATTGCAATAAAATCTTAAATATTAATTTTGTAACACCCAAATCACCATATCAGAAAGAAAATCAAAATGGAATGTTACCCCCATTTCTAGTCACCCCTAAATAAGCATGGTTACAAACCTGGAGCCATAGAAACCTTGTTCTTCTCTTCCAAAATAATTTTCCCATCAAAACTCATAGCAGGCAGCATTCCCTGCTGAAAAAAGATTACATTCTCTTTTTTTAAACCAAAGTACTTGTGCTTTGTGAAGAATTCCTTTGTAGATTCCATTGTTCGGCCACTGGTCATTATATACCTTGCAAGAGAAAAGTAGATTCTAAGCAACAGTGCTCTGGATATTAGGGCAAAATTCAAACTTGTCTATTTTCTAAGCAAAAAAAAGAAAGAAAATCATTGAGCACACTGCCTCTTTGTTCTGACTTCCTTCATCCTCTTCCTGGATAAGGTAGCATTAGCTATTGCCCAAGTGCCTTCCCTCCAGTAACATCATCAATCCTACATATAAAATAAATCTATGTGACAATAGTAAACATACCTCCTGCAACAGAGAGCCCATATAACTGGCTTAAACAACATTTTAGAACTCTGTGAAAACTGTACTCTGAATTTAAAACTGCCATTATAAATAAATAGGGAGAAAAGGGTAGACATAAAATATTCTGATCATCTCTCGTGGTTCTTTCCACTAAAGTTTTGAAATGTAATCTGGGCTCTGCTCATCATCTGTTTAAAATCTTAAAAGTGTAATTATATTTTCTGTTCTCACAAAAATCCAAACCATGCTAGTGTGGCAAAGGAGTCAAAAACTCTATCTAAAAACCACAGTTAGTGGGGGCGCCTGGGTGGCTCAGTGGGTTAAGCCGCTGCCTTCAGCTCGGGTCATGATCCCAGGTCCTGGGTTCGAGCCCCACATTGGGCTTTCTGCTCAGCAGGGAGCCTGCTTCCTCCTCTCTCTCTGCCTGCCTCTCTGCTTACTTGTGATTTCTCTCTGTCATAATAAAATAATAAAATAAATAATAAATAAAAATCTTTAAAAAAATAAAAAAATAAAAAATAAAAACCACAGTTAGTGACTACAGTAGCCACTGCCCTTACTAGAATTTAAGCCACATGTAATTAGGGACTTTTGTCCGTTCTGGTTGCTGATACAGCCCCAGTACCCAGAAGCAGACATTCATATTATGTTGAATGAATAAACGAAGAAAGTGGTATAATTTCCCACCATACTAGTTATCTGTTTAACAAATTATCCTGGGGATTTTGAGCTTTGAGTACAAAGAGGGGGCTGGACTGCTCTGCATAAGAAAAGCACAGAGATTCTAAGTCGTGAGGGAAAAAGAGAAGAAAATTCAACATGATAGTAGGAGCCAGGGCTGTAAGGAGAATATATTGGCTGCTTATAGCACAGATGTCCCTCAAACATCCCCAAAGGAATCCAGATTGAAAAAACAGTTTCCTGCCCGCCAATACTCATGTTGAGAAAAGCTAGCAAAGCTGGGAAATTTACAAAAAGCCTATTTTTAAAAGCATCAGAGAGCTATAGAAGCAACATGGATTGGAACTAAAATTCAAGACAGTGGGAATCTTTCAAAGAGGAGCTAAGGAAATGCAGCTGCCTTTTCCTGGGGGTATAGTGGTAGGGACTCTGGGCTTGGACCAGGCAGAAGGACAGAGAAACCAGCAGAGCTTTTGTGGGTCATATGGGACTAAAATAACAAGATCAGGGACTTGAGGGATCTCAAACACAGCTGGTTTCCCCCTCAAAACAGAATTTCCAAAGCTGCTCTGGGAAAGAGATTTAAGAGCTAAATCAAAAACTTTTAAAAAACAAAGCAGAATTTCCCATAATCTCTTGGTGCTCAGGATACCAACACTTGCCAAAGGAGGCCCTGAAAACACAGCATTCTACTAGAGCCTGGGGATCCGAGTGCAGCTCACACCAGACAATCAGTGGGGCTTTTAGCTGGTGTGTATGGAAGGGTCGGGTGTGGGGCAGAGCTAGATAACCTGGTATTTAAGAACAGGAGTTTCTAGACTGTGAGAACTCCCTTGCTGCCCAGAGTGAACTAAAAATAGACTTGTAGCACCTTGCCGTGAAATTTCGGATGCCAATGATAAGAAGAGACATGAGATGCTGGGGGGGGGGGGGGGGGCAGGGAGAGAAAGGAAGAAAGGGAAAGAGGGAGAGAGAGACAGACAGACTGGGAATCAGAACAGCTATGGACCACTCAACAAGAGAACGATGCCTTCAAATTTGAGAGGAAAACTGACTTCCAATCAGAAATTTATAAACAGACAAACTGCCAATCAATATAAAGTTTCTACACTGACAGACCCCAGTGAGTCCCCAGAAGTAGTCAGGGAGGGATGTAGAAGCCTGAGGTGAATATACATCGTGCAATAAGACCATTGTGATCATTTAGCTAGCTAGAATACAGATTATTTTAACACACAGTAAATTATAGCTCCTGGGAAAATCACTAGTAACAGGAAGTATGTCTGCTTAGGAATAAAGTATACATGCATTTTGACTATTATAGACCGGCGTTAAGTTCAGACACTCTCCCACAACGAGGCAGGTCTTACCATGGAATGATGCATTTGTTGCCGTGGTATTTTTCAGCTAACTGCTGAAGCTTCAGGATACGCTCTGCCTGAATCTGAAAAAGCGTCTTATGAGATGGCAAACCAACATCATACATCCCCTTGGGATACGCAACACCGAGTCTCGTCCCCTGCCCGCCAGCTAGAAGAAGAACTGCCACTTTGTTCTGAGAAATCTGGAAAAGTCCTAGAAGAGAAAACATCTGTATCACAAAACCTCTGCAATTCAACATTTTAGGACTACACATACAAAAAGTAGCAATGAGTCACCCTATCTGCATAAGGCATAAAGAATAAGAAATCACGTGTAATCACGGATAGCTACCTTGTTAATAAAAACATTTTTACTATTAAAAAATTAAATTTTATATAATCCAAGCAAACACCAAGCCATGAATAATATGCTTTAATGAAGAGTTCTTTTTCTGAAAATGTTAGAAGGCAAAGCCCAAAAAGATGTTACAAACGTTTTACAGGTGTCTGACTATTTATCAGAGGTGACGCCTCAAGAGAAAGACATGATAAAAGGCACCTGGGCTTCAGGATAAATGATGATAAGCTTCTAAATTACCTCCAGCCTGTAAATCCATCAATGACACAAAATTGTCGGTTAACAAGCGCGCAAACAGACGAGCTACCATCCAGAGAAGGAAGAGAGGTGAAACCCTCAGCAAAGCAATGCAGTACACGGGTCAAGAAGCCAGGCTCTGAGGTCAGGGTACCTGGGTGCGAAAGCCAACTCAGCTGCAAAGGCTTTGGGGAATCTGCCTGCAAAAGGGTAGGGCAGGAGGAGTCTTTCTGGGGTGTGGAAATGCTCTAGAACATTGGGGTGGTAGTTACATGAGTGCATAAATATGGCAAAAAATCATAAAACTAGCACATTTTATTGTATGTAATTATATGTCAATAGAATGGATTAAAATGCAGGGGTGTTTGGGGTTGGGGGGGTTGCTTGTCTTTTTGCCAAAGGGCCATCTGTCCCAGCTCACAAGGATGTGAAATTCGGTCCTTTTGTTGATGTATTCCCATTGCTGGGAAGCCCATCAGTCGTCATCAGTTGAATACTCAGCAATAAGTAATAGCCAAACATAATGCTTGAATCAAAATATTATTTTCTGAATCAAAATAATTCAAGATGGATTTAAGGCCCAAATGCAAACAAATAAAACTGTAAATATTATTAACAGAGGCTCTCAGTTTGGATTTAAAAAACAAAAATTTTGCCATAGACCATTTCTGAGAATCACCCTATCATGCAGAGCTGGACCAGCCCAGCCTCCCAGGGCACAGTAGCTTGTGGGGAGAGGCAACGTGGAAACTGCGTCTCTGGGAAGCCAGAAAAGCTGGAAAATGCCAGACGAGATCAGGCGATGGTTGACGGGATTTGCTGTTGTTTTCTGACATCCTCAGACACTCTGTGAAGGAAACTGGCCACCGCCCAGAACTGAACGCCAGCCCAGAGGGGGCAGTGGTGGCCAGTAGCCATTGTTGTTCTTTTTTATATCGTGAGGTAATGGGGGTTTGTCTAATTTACCATCTCTGTGCCTTGTGTTTTTGATGTGTTAGGCTTTCTGAAGCTAATGTGCCAGTACATTGAGCGCTTGAAAGAAATACTCTAAACCCATTATAAACTCAGAACCTTCTCCAGTCCTAATTCTACAATCTATCTTCCGGAGTCAGTAAGTATAGCCCAAGGACATGATCCAGCAACTATCCAGCTACGAAAAAAAGCACAATAGATATTTCCATAATTTTCACCTTTGATATGAAGCGAAGGTTAGCTAGCTCCCTGACACCTAATTTTCTCTTTCTTCCTGCCTAGGCCAAAACTGTCTTCGTGATTTTTCTCCAGAGCATCTCACTGTGCCTTATCAAAGTGTGAAAACAGACCCCAAACTAATAACTTTAAGAGGCAGGTATAATTTCCCCCATGCGAGAGGTTAACGGCCTCAGAGACCTTGCAGGTCCTGCCCAAGGTCACAGCACTAGTAAATGTGAACGAGAGTCAGACACTCACTCCAGGCCCATGTGCTGTGCACCACACCGCCTCCAGCAGCCTCTTTTCACACCCGAACACTGACCAGATCCACGGGAGCACCAGGGGTTTGAGGGGTAAAAACTCTCCTTTCTATTTCTTTCCTGCCCTTTCTTCTCTTTTCCACTGAATTCGTGAGAGGTTGTGCTACCTCTTTTTTTAATCTCTCCTACCTACCACTCTACAAGGAAGAGCTGCTGGGTACTGTCCACATTCTCCAAAACTTGCCGAACACTGAAATTTCGCACGGCATTTCAGATCCGCAACCCCCTTCAGCAAGCACCGTAACCACCAAGCAACAAAGTGACTGGGACGAAATGAAGCATTCTGAAGGGAGCAGGCAACGACAGAAGGCAGTTCTGAAAACTGCTTTCCATTTGGTTACCCCCTGAGTTATCACAGAAACTCTGGTTTCTACGGGTAAGTTTAATTCTGCTGTCATCAACCCAAAAAGCATTGTTTAAAGAAAACATACGTCCGTAATCCCTTACCTAACCCCATGGATCAGAGTTGTTTCTGAGGGCAGAACTCTTCACAATTTAGAAAACAAACAGAGCACACACACACGTGTGTGTGTGTGTGTTATACATTATCTCCAGCAAAGCTGAGGCAGGACCCAGCAATCCCATTACGTGGGATAAAGGTCGCCAAAAGCCTCCTGTTGAACATGTCCAAGTTCAGTTTTGCTGCAAAACAGGCTCTGTCTGCACTGCTTCAAAACTGCAGAAGAAATAAGTCTGGTGTCTGAACCCTCACATACCAGAGGTGTTAGAACCGGAAATATTTCTAAACATCTTCCAAAAAAGTCCCAGATAAATATTCTGGACACAGAGGCCTTTGTTCTCTTTGTACTATTTATTTTCTTCACCCAACACATGTGTTTTAAGTTGTTTTGCTGTGGTTTTTATCAAGTTTTTATTTATTTATTTATTTGATCAGGGGTGGGGGGGCACAGAAGTAGGCAGAGCAGCAGAGGGAGACGCAGGCTCCCCGCTGAGCAGAGAGCCCGATGTGGGACTCAATCCCAACACCCTGGGATCATGACCCGAGCCAAAGACAGACGCTTAACTGAGCCACGCAGGCACCCCAAGTTGTTTCATTGTTACTGTGGCTCCAGCCATCTTTTCTGATGTCCTTCATTTACCTTCAGTGCAAAAGTCAGTGACTTCCCACAGCCACCTTACCTGGAAAAGGGAGGAGCCTGTTCCCGGGGTCAGCTCCATGTCCGGGTTCCAGCTCACCTGATGGCCACCCAGCACCAACCAGTGCCTTCCGTAGGTTCTAACCAGTTTTCACAGTTTCACTGTATACATTTTTCTCTTCCTACAGGCAGTTCCCTCAATATGGCTTCATTCCGGTTTTCCCAATTTTTCAGTTTTCTGGCTCTCAAAACAGCAGCTCACAGGGGCTCTTCTTTTATGCAAATAAATGTTCCCTAAGCCCCTGTCTGCCATACTTTCTTCAGTCCTTTTCCCATCTATGGACCTGAGGACCCATCCAATCACTACATCGTAAGAGAAGCAAGGAGACTGTGCCTACCAGGTGTCCAATTCCAGGCAGACCTACACATACACCTCTAACCACAACTACCACAATGAGTTGTAACACGATCCACAAGTATTTACAATGAAAAGGTTTCTGCACTGACCTCTTCCTACTTACGCATCTCACTTACCGACCAGAGAAAAACACGAGGAAAGAAAGCAGTCCCTAGAGTATCAAGGCCAGCTGCATTTCAAGCCTTCAGTGCAGCTACAGATGTTAACAATATCAGATTGTGTGTTCGCTGGTGAAGCACTCATCCGCCCCATCTGTGTCACTGCCCTAAAACGGCAATGTTTAATAAGTGTGTAACACATAAATTAGTATCTGTCCTATAATGACAGATAAAATACTGCTTGAAATTAAAGGGGCCAATAAAATTCAGTAAGCTATTTAGTTATATGGCAGTAATACCTGACTTTAACCTGTATTTGTCATAACAAACTTTATATGGACAGCACTGCACCTATCTGAAAAATGTTAACTACTTATAAATGTACTTAACCCATGTGGCAATTAGGAAATTATAGGCTACTCCTATTCCAAAACTTCTGCAAAAATATAAGAAATAAAAATGGAAAGTACAGGGACGCCTGGGTGGCTCAGTTGGTTAAGCAGCTGCCTTCGGCTCAGGTCATGATCCCAGCGTCCTGGGATCGAGTCCCACATCGGGCTCCTTGCTCAGCAGGGAGCCTGCTTCTCCCTCTGCCTCTGCCTGCCTCTCTGTCTGCCTGTGCTCGCTCTCTCTCCCTCTCTCTCTGACAAATAAATAAATAAAATCTTTAAAAAAAAAAAATGGAAAGTACAGCACTATTCTCACCCTTTCCATCCTTCCACTGAGGGAGAGTTCACAGCTCACAGCTTACTTACAGAGCGGCCGAACAGAGGCCAAATCAAAGGTTTAAAAAAAAAAAAATCAAGCCAGAGTGAGCAGTTTCCAGGGCTGGAGAACATTTCTCCCCTTGGAGAGTCATGTATCATAGGACCAACAGTGTCTGTGAACTTTTCCTGATAACATTTATAAGAAACAAAGAGAAGAGTCTACAGTGGCCTAAAATAGGTCAAATGCTTCCTGGATAACTTCCTGCTTGGACTAGTGCCTCTCACACACTCTGACTTGGGCGTGTGCTGGACACAGGAAGGATGGCACAGGTGCGTTTGAAGTACAGCTCTGCCAGAACTTTCAATTTAAACTGTCAGCACTCCCAGGACCCTGAGTCAAGTAAACCAGCTATTAAACTGGTGGAAATGAAGACTATCCAAGAAAGTTAGTCAGAAAAGTTATTTTAAGTCTTTAACGTTTAACCCTATTGTACAGGTAAAACTATTATTATCTCTCAAAAATGCCAAGTACAAAAAGCAGACTATAAGGGAAATCACTATTTGAACCAGTTTTAGATACTGGAGGATTACTGTGAATTTCATGAGGTATAATAATAGCACTTTGAATGGTAAGAAAATATCCATATGTGTAGAGATGAATACTGAACTCAAAAAAGGTAAAAATAACATGATGTTTGAGATTTATCTTAAAGTACTACAGCAGAGAAAAAGAAAAGAAGGGACAGGGGAAGCAAAAGTAGCAAAATTTTGATATTTAACAAGGTGATATATATGTAGGATTCATTATACTGTTTTTATCTCTAAATATTTGTTTCAAAATACACTTGAAATTTTTCATAACAAATTCATAAGTAGGCTACAAAATTATACACAAACCATAATCCCAGAGTGTACGTGTATCTAAGAAAATACTATATTACTACTGAGTATTTATCTCTGAAATGTGGGATACTAGAGATTTTTTTTTCCTTTGTAATTTCCAGTTATTTTTCCAATTTTTCTAAAATATGTGTTACTTTTAAAATAAAACAAATCTATTAAAAATACCACTGTACGGGATGCCTGGGTGGCTCAGTCAGTTAAGTGTCTGCCTTCGGCTCAGGTCATGATCCCAGGGTCCTGGGATAGAGCCCCACATTGGGCTCTCTGCTCAGCAGGGAGCCTGCTTCCTCCTCTCTCTCCCTGCCTCTCTGCCTACTTGGGATCTCTGTCAAATAAATAAATAAAATCTTAAAAAATTAAAAAAAAAAAACCACTGTACTAGATCCCAGAAAATGTACAGGAGATAATGTTATGAATACATTTTTTCTTTTTTTTTTTTTAAGGATTTTATTTATTTATTTGACAGAGAGAGATCACAAGTAGATGGAGAGGCAGGCAGAGAGAGAGAGAGGGAAGCAGGCTCCCTGCCGAGCAGAGAGCCCGATGTGGGACTTGATCCCAGGACCCTGAGATCAGACCTGAGCCGAAGGCAGCGGCTTAACCCACTGAGCCACCCAGGCGCCCTGAATACATTTTTTCTAAGCAATCCACTTACTTTTCTACCAGTGTTATATGGTAGAGAAGCACATTCAAATTAATTTTATAAATGTCTCATAGACAAAAGAACCTAATACTGGATATTAATATGTTATTATAAAATTGGAAGACTATTTTATAATTGGTGTAAGCATGCCTTTCTTTGCTAAAGATGGTGTTTAAAATGATAGTCTCATAGAAGTTTCTAAAATGATATTCTCATAAAAGCTTCTAATTACTTCTCTCTCTAGATTTCAGCTTTGTAAGATAGAAATTTTTCAGTTGTTCCCCTGCATTCCATTTTCTACAACTTGCCAGAACACATTAAGAATTAAATTAGGGACGCCTAGGTGGCTCAGTCAGTTGAGCATCAGACTCCTGATCTGGGCTCAGGTCATGACCGCAGGGTTGTGGGATCGAGCCCAACAACGGGCTCCCCCCTGGGCGCAGAGTCTGCTTGAGATTCTCTCTCTCCCTCTACCTCCTCCCAACACCCCACTCGCAGGGGCAGGCACTAAGGGACAGTGGGTAGAGCATACAACTCTTGACCTCAGCATTGTGTAAGTTTGAGCCTCACACTGGGTGTAGAGATTACTTAAAAATAAAATCTTTAAAAAAAAAAATCAAATTAAGATTTCTCCAGAACAAGGAGCACAGTGGTCACTTACACATTTACCCTTCAGAAATAATTTTCCACCCTAGGAATGAAAATGTCCATTTTAGTGTCAACAGCCACCAGACATTCTAAAAAAAACATACAATGCTTTCATTTCCCCCCTCCTGAGGAGGGGGCTGCGGGGGGGCACTGTCTTTGATAGAACTCTGGGGACTGTCCTCCTATCTGAAATATAACAATTAGAATCTTCACAATGGCAATCTCTTCCCCTTGATAACTTACTGAAAAACCTCATTTTGTTGTGAATTTGCATACACACGGAAGTTTCTGGCTAAGCAAATGACAAGTTACAAAGTCTCCTTCATCCCTACTGTTTAAGCCACAAATATTATTGCTCCCTTGACAATAAGCCAAAAGGAAGTTTGTTTTGTACACTCTTGTAGTGTTCTTGGTTCTAACAGTTCAAGATTTCAGTTTAAATGAAAAGTCATGAAGGTAGACTAGTTCCACGAATTTCAAAAAAAGGCCATCAAGACTCCAATTATAGGAGGTTCTGACTGTTGCCCATGGTCCCCATTATACAAGGTCAAAGCTTCGGCTTTCCCTAAGAGTTCACTCGAAGACTTCCTCACATAAAATCACAAGGAGAAATACAGGCAGCCGGGATACCTGAGGGTATGAAGAGCCCTGTGTGACTTTTGCTGTATTGTAGTAGCCTTTTTGAATCCCAGGGATAGAGGGGAGGACTAATGAATCAAAAGTTAGCAAGGGTCCGAGTATCACCACAGCTCTACACTCAAAAGGATCCATCTGGATCTCTCACAGTTTAATGGCAAAGCCCTATTCTAAGAAGCTAGATTAGCTTCTATCAAGCACTTGAGATCTAAAAGGGCACTTCCTAGAGATCATCTAATTATTTTTGACATTTTTTAATCTTTCAAATAAAAACCTTTTAAATAAAACCTCATGTAAAGATCAAATACATAAAGCATGTCAAACCAGCACTGCTCTTGTAGTTAGAGGCAAAGATGTTTAGTATCTATCCCTCCTCCCTAGGTGAGACAGACTGTCTCCCCAGTAGTGGAACCCCTAGGGTTCCTTGGAACACAGTTTGAAAATCATCAAATTTGTATGCCCAGAGAAAGACATCAGCATACAGAAGGCTGATAATGGCAATTATCTGTCCTTTTTGTGGGGACAGGGAAGCCAAAGAATGAAAGACAAAATAAAAACAGCAATAGCGTGGTACAAAAATAGACTAAGGTTACTTCTATATCATTATTATTACACATTCATAAAAGTAAATATACATAAAATCAAGTAATAGGTGGCAATGTGAGCAAATAAAAAGATATGACTTGGTTAAGGGCAACTTCTCTGTAGTTTTTCTGTTACTTTGATGTTATTTCTATAATAAAGTAACATTTTTTACAAAGGGAAGAAAAGTATTAGTCAGATCTGTTCATTCTATGGTTGAGGACATGAGGTCCAGATAGACAAGGACCATGTACAAACACTCAATGGCCTGAGCTGCAATTATTTAGTCACTATTACTTACAGAGAAGTAGTGGGTTATCAAACCACAGCTCTGAAATCCACCAGAAAAGGTACATATGAGCTATCCTGCTATTCTCAAAGGCACTAATTACAACTGGTCATGGGGACAGATTTTATGATACATTAGAAGAAAAAACATGGGGGCAATTCAACATTGATCTGCAAAACCCTGTTCCAAATGCCCTGTGACACAGAACACAGGCCATGGGCCGCTCTTCAGGAGTCCACAATGTCATGATGAAGACAGACACGGCTCTTTTTCTAAGAAAGAATGGAAGCCACGCATGGACAAGTAACTCCAGCTTGGGACACTGAAGAAAAGATCATGATCAAAGAACCTTAAGAAATGAGGATACGTTCCCCACAAGCCCCACTGCACTACAGAGCACAACCCTGGGAGATCGCCTTTCAAAGTGACCCAGGCTAGGCAGGGAAGAGGCAAAAGCCAGTCCAAGCCCAGGATAAGCATGAGCAAAGGCAGGAAAGACGTAATGTTCAGGGAAGGGTGAGTTATTTGGTCCCGCAAAAATGCATGGGACAGACCGTAGGACTGGAGGGAAACGGAGGAGACCAGACTGGAAATACAGGCTAGGGAAGGTTTTTCCATGAAGCCAGCATAAACTGAAATATTTAACTTGGGCTTCAGGGTGGGAAATCTGGCAGAAGTACGGCAATGAGCGAGGAAAGAGACTACAGAAGACTTAAATGAGAAGAACCTTGACTGGAGAACAGATGAAAAGAGCACGTAGGGACCGGCAAGGGAGATGCTGCAGAAGCTCCGACGCCATCATCTGTCGCTTTCTGATCAGGCACCTGGTTTAAGGTATGAGGGTCCAAATACCCATCACATGGTCCAGCTCCTTTAATACCTCCAGTACATCTCACCACAAACTTCAAAATGAACATCCCATGCTCGGTACCTTCACTCTCCCAGGCTTGCAGCCGATCTTGGTCCCTGGTGGCACTGCCCAACACCTCTCGAGGGACAGGCTCCATTCGTGCATCCATTTTCTCTTGCTGAGAGGACTGGTTAAAATTTTCAATGGCCTTCTGGAAAAAGAAGTTCAGCTCCTCAAAATTCATGGCCTGGAGCTCTGCATGTAGTTCTGCCTGCTGGGCTTCATCCAGCTCATTCCAGAACTGCAGCAGGTGTTCCTGTCCAGAGCTGGACAACCTGAGTTTGAGATCGTTAACATTCATAATGCTCTGGTAGCCAAGCTCTGTGAAAACAGAGGTGTAGTTTCTGCACTTGTAAACCTTAAAAAAAAAAAAAAAAAAGTAATCAACAGCAGGTCAAATTCCAACCTCAAAACCTGAGCTTTACCTACTACAAATAAGTACACTTTTTTAAAAACCTGATGTTAAGGAAATTAACTTCTGCCTTTCCCCTCACAAGATCTGTGAGAGATCCAACTTGTAAAGACATAAAAAGAAAGTTTCTCCAAAGAAGACATCCAGATGGTCAAGAGACATATGAAAAGATGCTCGACATCACAGATCATCAGGAAAATGCAAATCGAAATCAGAATGAGAGATCATCTTTCATCTGTCTGAATGTCTAGAATAAAAAACAAGAAACACCACCTATTGGCGAGGATGAGGAGACCCGTCATGCACTGTTGGTGGGAATGCAGACTGGTACAGCCACTGTGGAAGACCGTATGGAGGTTCCTCAAAAAGCTAAAAATAGAGCTGTCCTATGACCCAGTAATTGCACTACTGGCCATTTACCCTCCTTCCAAAAAACACTAATTCAAAGGGATACATGCGCCTTTATGTTTACTGCAGCATTATTTACAATAGCCAAGTCAGGAAGCCACACAAGTGTCCATCAACTGACGAATGGGTAAAGGGGTGTGTGTGTGTGTGTGTGTGTGTGTGTGTGTACACAATGAAATATTATTCAGCCATAGAAAAGAATGAAATCTTGCCATTTCCAACAACACAGATAGAACCAGAGCGTACTATGCTAAAATAAGACTGAAATAAGTCAATCAGGGAAAGGCAAATATCATATGATTTCACTCGTGGAAATGAAGAAACAAAACAAATAGCAAAAGAAAAAAAAAGAGACAAACCAAGAAGCAGACTTCTTCTTAACTACACAGAACAAACTGATGGTTACCAGAGGGAAATAGGTGATGGGGATAAAGAAGACTCACCACAAGGAGCACAGGACAATGTACAGAGCTGCTGAATCACCGTACTGTACACCTGAAACTACTATAACACCGTCAGTTAAATATCCCAGAATTAAGATTTTAAAAAGTAAAAATAAATAAAAATTAAAAAATAAATGGGTAAGACAATTAATATTCCTAATTGTAATACTAATTAGCATTATAAACCAGGCACTGCACTAAGGACTTGACCTACAAGGTCTCATTTAATGTTCACCAACTCTGCAACATAAGTAATATTAATTTCCTTACTTTACTCTGAGGAGACTGAGGCACAGAGAGGCAACAAAACCAGGCCACCTGGAGGAGCTAGGATGTGAGCCCACCAGGCGGTCCAATTCAGGGGCTCACATCTGACTACCCCACTTTGCTGCCTCTGTAGTACTCCTCCGGCCATGAGCTACCACTGAAAGAACACTTGACTTCTTAGTAACAACCGTTCTCCTTTTAGTGCTAATGATGAAAATGATCATGTTGTATGCGGAATAAAACAAAATACAAAAAGACAGGAACACCTATAACCCAGAAAAATACATTTTATTTCAATAGCGACTTCTACAGAGAAGCAATAAAAAAGTATCTATTACCTTTACCAAGAATTGAACCCTAAAGGAACAAGCAATTCACACAGAACAATCAACAGATAAGACAATACAGCAAAATGTTAAACTGCTACATTTCAAAAATAAGAGAAAGAGGGAAATATTAAATCTACTTGTCTACTCTAGGTAACTGCAGGAGAAGGTAGGGCTGTCTAGAAAGAGATCACAAAGGAAGCATGATAGAGCGGTGTGTGTGCCGCAAGGGTTGAGCGGATTACACAGATAAGATCAGAAAACAAGCACAGTTGGCCTGCGGACTCAGCGCAGTTCAGCAAGTTGAAGTTCTATGTAGCATGATGGGAAGTGATATAGGGTAGGACTTGACCAGGAAGAGCCTTGAAAACCAAGCCAAGGAATTTAGACCTAAGAGAGTAATAAGAAGGCCACAGCAGATTACTCAACAGGGCCATGTCACCATGCTTTAGAGAGATGAGAGAAGGAGCAATGGTATAACGTAGATGGTAAGGAGGCACAATCAGGAGCAGGAAAACAAGTTCAAAGACAATTGCAGGTATGAAAAGCCAAAGTTCTGAATCAGATTAGTTGCAAAGGAAATAGCATGGAAGGGAGAAATTTGAGGGTCACTGTAAAGATTCACCACCGCGTTCTAACTGTTTAGATGTGAAGGACAGGCAAAAAAGGAACCAAAGAAATGGCCTGCTATCTCCTACCATAAGAATAGTGGGAAGTAACAGACATGGCAGTTGGGAGCAATACTCCGGAGTTCTCTGTGGCTCACCTGTAAAGTGGGATTCGTAACAGCATGCATCTCATCAGGACTACTAACCATCAAACACCACTTACAAACTCGGGTTAAGAGAACCTACATCTGCTCCCTGAGGCAGCAATAAGAAGACCTATCTCTTCCGCATCACTGTGTATGACAAAGTATGACTCTAACTGCTTTACAGATACTTGTTCAGGTAATCCTTAAAACGATGCTAAGGTCCTGCTGCTGGGATTACTTCGCAGAGGAAGATAGTGCACCGCAGAGATACCACCCAAGGTCCCAAACTAGTGAAGTGACAAAGCCTGGATTCGAACCCTAACAACCTGACTCTAAGAGTCATACGCTTACCCATTACGCTACACTGGCTCTCAGGAGGAAAGGCTGTGGGTGTGGGTGGATGTGTGAGTGTGTAAAAGAAAGGAGCAGTGACAGAGAGCACATTATTTATACTTTATTCAGAAATAGAGACACAACTGATATTCTGACACCTGACTCACTTCGCAGAAATGAGCTCACACGCCAACAGAATGGAGAAAGAAAGAAAACGCACAGGATAGGCTGGGGAGGAACTTCATAGGATGAGTAAATACTTCATTTTAAAATGCATTACTACTTTTTCTTTGGTACTGGGCATATTGATCCAAATCAGATACTGCTCAGAAATAACTTTAACTAACATCCACTCAAAAATAAATTCAGGAAAGGTATTAAACAATAGAGACAGGCACACAGCTTCTATAATTGTTTTCTTTAAGTAAGGTGCTCTCTAGAACTGAAGGGATGGACTGGATTCACGATTATTCTTATAAAATCAACTTCAAATTAGATGAGCACACAAGAGCCAGTGTGTTATATTCTCAACTTTTATTTTTGGTTTGTTATTTAGATTTACTTCAGGGACGTAATGCTTCAAGTGTGAATCCAACGGTAGGACTTATGAAATCCCTTTTATGAGTTACTGATGATTCCTAACAAAATTAAGGCTTCCATATGAAACAAAAATGAAACCTTATTATCAGGGTGGGACACAGTTCTACCTTGCTGTCACCTAAGGCCCCCGTCCTTTCCTCCAAGCACTTCCTTTAACCCCTCCTATCCACTGAAATGCCATTCACCCTTAAAGGCCTGCCTCCCACACTCTAGCTTCAATTGAATCTTTATTGGCTTAGGAATCAAACAGAACTTTTATTTCTGGCTCTAATCCTTGGGCCAAGTCATAGATACCTCCAACTCTGTTAATTTCATCTGCAAAACGGCAACAATAAAATTTTCTTCACCAGATTCTGAGGCATAAGAGAAACTACATCCAATGAGAAAAGGACGCTCAAAGCGATTCAGCAATTTGCCCAAGGCTATGTACCTAGTAGACAGAAAAACAGGAATTTTAACCCAGATAAACCTGACTCTGATGCCTATGATCTTTGCATCAAACAATAACTCTCATAAGCAGAAGAAATACTAAGAATTCAACCCAACATCTCATTTAAGAGGCAGGAGAACTGATGGAAGTCACCATAAGGCTCCAGAGCCAGCCCGGCTGGGCTAAGACCCCAGGACCACTTTTTCCTAATTCTGTGACCTTGAACAAGTTAATTAACCTTTCTATGCCTCAATTTTTGTCTTCTGTAAAATGAGGATAAAAACAGTACTACCTCTAAGGGTAAGAGGATTACTGAATTAAAATGAAAAGCATTTAAAACAGTACCTGGCACATAAAAATCCCCGCCAGGAATGTTATCAGCTACTACTGTAAAAGTGAAATCTGTGCTTCAGACCACTGAGTTACAGCCTCCAGAACACAAGAAGAGCCACTACCTGAGTCAGGCAATTGAGGATGAAAATAAGTGTGCCAAAGGTACAAGAAGTAAAAGAAAACCCAGTCAGTGGGAACGGCACCAAAAATGGTTCAGGTAAAGAAATATATTCAAGAAATAAGTTGTAGTGCTGGGAATTGGGCGCAAGTGGACACAGAGGAGGTTGGTTGTGTTTCCGTGCTGCTACTTGGGTTTTAAGACAAATGAGCCCACAACCTCACTCTTGCCAATAGGTTCCTGCTCAAAGTTTCCTCTTCACATGCAGAGATACATCAATAGACAATTTATTAAGGAACATTATTTAACTTTCACATGCCATTAATCCATTTGACATTTAATGAGCACCTACTGCCTGCCAGGTGCTGATGCTGGGGACACAGACACAGCAATGCACAAAGTGACAACACGCATGCCCACATTCCGTACCAGAGACAGGCAAACACATAAAATGTCAAGGAGAAGAAGAAAGTGGGCGAAGCGGTGAATGTGCAATGGGGCGGGGGATGGTGGATATTTTAAAAGTGGTGGTCAGGTGGGGCCTCTGAGACATGTGACAATCCATCCCAAGCAAGCAAGTCAGTATCTCAGAGACGAACATTCTAGGACCAGGATGCTCCAAGTGCAGCAGTTCTGACACAGGGATGTGCAAGACCAACACAGCTGGATCAGAGTGACTGCACCTGCGGGACTACAACTGAGGCACCCACTGAGCAGATCAAGTAGGGCTTTCGGTCTAAGACTCTGGGGTTTGGGAAGCCCCTGGAGAATGTGGACCAGAGGAGCTTCACGGTATGATTTAGGTTTCAGAAGGAACATTTGTTGTTGTCTGGAAAAAATTCTGTAATGAAGGGAAACATGGAGGCCAGCAGTTGGGGAAGTACTGTAGTCCAGATGAGATGATACTGGCTTAGAGCGGGGGTGGATGTGGACCCTAATCCTATGTGTGGGACGGGGAGACAGAGAGAAAGATAGGAATCAAGCAAAGAGGTGGTGCCGTTTACTGAGGTGGGGAAACATTAGGACAGGAGACTTAGAAAAACGCACGGACAGTGGGGGAATCAACACTCCACTTCTGGACATGTTAAATTGGAGGGGCCTATTAGACATGCAAGCAGAGGCAGGATGTAGTAGTCCAAAGTTCAAAGGGGATACTGGAGCGAAAGAGAAAACTTTCAAGGTCATCAGCATACATAATATTAAGTTATGAACTTAATGAGAGCCCCATGGATAAAAAAGCAAAGACGTTAGAAGACTGAGCCTTGTACACACATTAGGATATTAAAAGGTATTTCTATTGATTTATATAGATTTCAAGAGATATGACACCACTGGGGCACCTGGGTGGCTCAGTGGGTTAAGCCGCTGCCTTCGGCTCAGGTCATGATCTCAAGGTCCTGGGATTGAGTCCCAAGCCGGGCTCTCTGCTCAGCGGGGAGCCTGCTTCCCTTCCTCTCTCTCGTCTGCCTCTCTGCCTACTTGTGATCTCTCTCTGTCAAATAAATAAATAAAACCTTAAAAAAAAAAGAGAGAGATATGATACCATTAATTACAAAAATACATCATGTAAAAAAAATAGTTGAGAAAGTTTTCTATTAACTACTTTCCAAAGAATTGGGTCTTTCCTAAGGTCTCATTCTATATTACTGTTTTTGCCCAGATTTAAAGGAGAATACTACAGCAGGAAGATCATCAGGCAAACAGGTAACTGAAAAACTGGCAGTCTAGTTCTCCATCCCGCTCCCCATCAACTGACCTGGCACAAATCATTCCACCTCCCTCTGTACACATTTCCTCATAAAGACAATACAACCAGCCTTCCTGACACATCCTCAAATGAGAGTCAAGGGTGGAGAGTCCCTACCTACTAAAACACAAATGCAAATGTGGTATTGTAACATGTAAGATAAAAATCAATCTTTTCCTAAGAAGTCATTAGATACCCATCCACCTTCACATGCTTGGGAAAATGGATCCATGCAAATAGGACAACTCATATGCTAAATTTTTCCCTACATAGGTTAAACTCTGATACTTGGCCTTAGACCACTGGTGGTCTGCCAAGATTGACAAGGTCGCGCATGCTGAGTTAATTCTGGTAAGAGGTCTGCATGTATGTGTAACAGCAAGCAACAGTGAATACAAGAGTTAGAGCAGGATTTTTATTCTGACAAGCAAAGTCCGAAGAAGTCAAGGATCTGCTCTAGAAATGCGGACAGAATTCCGTACGCGCCCGTAGCCTAATACATCCGCACCAAAAACAATGACAAGCTAAGTAGAAGCCCACCACGATCAAATATACCTTTATTAGAATTTAAACGCCAGTAGGAAAGAATTCCAGTGTTTCCCCTCCTTTCCTGGTCTCCCTCCTGCCCCCCTTTCTGCTGCTAATATTATGCCCACAAAATTGATAAAACTTCTTAGAACTTTGGAAAAACAGTCTTGGAGTTGACCCATAACCACTGGATCCTATAAATGTTTGTCAGCACAGCCTTCTTCAGTCTTTCATAATCCTAGCTAAGGGATCCAACTGAGTGAATAGAAACTGCCTTCAGCTTCCTGTAAACCCTTCTGTCCACACCTAAAGAATTTCACCCTAAAAGACCTTAAACTAAAAGAACTACGTAATGACACCTTCGTATTTTAATCACGACTACCTAATTTCAGATTTCATAAACAATGCACAAGTAAACAGAACAGCATCAGGTCAAACTTAATACAATCTTCAGGAAGCCATATGTTCAGCACATGGGCGCTCTCTCAGCCCTCCAATCCCATTCTCCTGCGTGGCCAAGGCAGGCGAAACCCCGCAATCTCAACCCTCTCCCACCACCACGGTTAAAACCAACCAACCGACAAAAAAGGGCAAAGGGGCTTTGCCCCCTCGCACGTCCCCCGCAGTTATGTCCACTCCTCCCTGCCGACGCCCTCAGAATTCTCTCCCCCTTCTGTGCCAGACGGCCCACCCCGATCCCAGCGGACACTTCCAACGACCACTTGTCCCCACCGGACGCCCCCGAGCTCGCCCAAACTGTCCGCAAGGCCCTGTCCCCCGCCCAATCCAGGTGAGGCCCACCCCCAGCCATTCGACAAACCCCCGATTGCACACACTGCCCTGTTCGAGTCCTCCCCAAAGCCCCCGGCCGGCTGGGGCGCTCTCCCCAACGGGGTCTCCGAGCACGGGAAGCGCCTGCGGGGCGCGCGGGGCGGCTCCTCGGCCAGAGCCAGGCTCGGGCGCCGAGCACCAACGTGGCCGTGGGAGCGTGCGCGTGGCGGGACCGGGCCCCGGCGTCCCCTCCGGGCTGGCGGGTGGCATGGGAAGGAGACACGACTGGGCGGGGAGGCCCTCACCTCCCTCGGTGCAACGGCGACTACGCCCGGCTCCGGCTCCCAGCGCGCGGCCACTCCTTGGCGTCCCGCGCCTGCTCCGAATATATACCCTCATCCGGGGGGCCGGGGTGGCGGGGCGGGCCGCGAGCTGGCCCGGGGACACGGCCCCGGCCACCCCGCCCCTCTCTCGCAGGGACGAGTAGCTATCCGCGCCGGGAGGAGCCGCCACCTCCCGCCCGGCCACGTCAGCGCCGCGAGCGCCGGCGGCGAGGCGGACGCCGAGGGGCGGGGCGGGGCGCGTCACTCATTCCCTGGCCCAATGGGGACGGCTCTGGGGGTCCGGTCCGCGGGGGCCCCGCCCCCAGGCGCGGTGCGGCACGAGAGAGGTGTGCGCTGCGTCAGCTGGGGTGGGGGGGTGAGGCCGCAGCGGCTCGCTGGTGGCCGTGGCCCGCCCCTGTGAGCCCTGGCGTCACAGCTGGCCCCGCCAGGTGCCAGCCCAGGCTCCTCGTCGTACCCTGGCCCAGCGCCCCGTCAGCGGAAGCGCACCGCGGAGCTGGGCGGGCTGCTGCGTCGTCCGGCTGATGGATTCCCGACCCGCCGCGCGGAGGGTTGCGAAATGCGGCGGTGCCTGCGCACCGACTCCGGAGGGCGGATCTGGGCCGCCGTCTGACCTTGGGCTGGCGGTTTCGTGTCTGGTTGGCCCGATCTTCAGCTTTATGGCGTTTTTGGTTCCAAACGCGGGGAGCCAGGCCCGTTTACTTTTGCACAAACAGGCAGGCAAAGAAAGACAAGCAAAGGTTTTAGGTAATGAAAAGCGCGCCAGTGAGAAAGAGCCCAGAGATCGTTTTGTGTGACTGTGTTACCGCCTCAGTATTTGACACGAAACTGGTGGTTGGACCCGATGACCTCCATGGCCCTTGCACGGCCCAGTGTTAATAATTGCCTGTTGCATACTGTCAGCCCTGTTACATGCCTTGTGTGGGTGTGCACGAGCAGGTTATATCCTCGGTGCGGGCCCGTACAAGCTGGGTTTGCGTTCTGAGCTGCGTTGGGCTTTGCAATTTTGCAAGAAGTCCAATATGTTGAAACACCAAAATACACCTAGCTTTAACAAAGCACGTGACATAAAGAATTTCAGGCACTTAGGTGCCTTTCCTCTCCCTTAAATAGAACAGCCTTTTCATTTACTTAATCGACTGCAAAATCACCCACCACATTAAGTAACAGAAATAACGTACACTTGGTAAGTAACGCCGGTAGATTCATATTCAGGAGGTAGAATATTCTGTTTTCACGATCCCAGAACTTCATCCACTTATTTGAAAGATTTATAGTGTAGTGGTTAAGAGCAAGGGATCTGAAGACAGAATTCCTGCTTTTCTATTGAGTATGATCCTTGGTAAGTTAATTAACTCATGTATAAGTTTTCTCATCTATAAAATACCAGCAATAATATAAATGCCCTTAGTGTTGTTATGAGGATGAAACCAGTTAATACAAGAATGTAGAACAATGAAAACTAAAAAACTTTAATTACTGTTATTTGAGTGCTTACTCTATGTCAGATGCTCTTCTAGGTCCTGGATACTTTGACATACTTATCACCATCTGGAAAAAGTACTCATGTCCCAGGAAGCCAAAGCCCAAGTTCCTCTACCACCCATCTGTTTGTGTCTTGGAAACAGTGATCTCATGAAGGCTCAGGCCTGCTTTACGGAACCTCCTACTGGGCCAGTTTCTCCGGGTGATCAGATGTGCTTCTGGGAAGGAACCTGTCTGTGTCCTTTTAGAAGCTCATGACCTACCTGAGGCTCCCTCATTCAGACAAGGAAAGGAGGATTCCTTTGCTGGAGCCTGGCCTCCCACAGGTTGGGTGTTTGAAAACTCTGGGTGGGTCATTCTTGGTTGTTACTCTTCTGTGTTTCTACTCCCTGACAAAGAAATATATGAGATTTTAGAAAAATTCAAACCAGGAGATGCAGATTCAAAATTAGAGTTCAGCCTTAGAGACTGTGTGTCCACTGAACTCTTACCCTCAATATTCTCCATATAAAATGAGGGTAATACCTACTTCAATGGGTATAGTACAAATTAAATGAAAAAGAATCTAAGAGAGTATCTGGAGTATTGGAGGCATTCCATAAATCTTACACCAATGAATGAATGAAGAACTGAATATAATTAAAGAGGACTTTAAATATAAAAGGTCACACCAGGGCCCAGCACAAGTGTTTCCAATGAACTATTATAAAATCAAATTTTTACTTTTACCATTTGCTAGTTTTTTTTTATAGTTACCAGGCATAAGAAGGGCCTTAATCTCATCTTGCCAACTAACATCCAGAAACTTCTTATACTGAAGAAGTATTTCTGTCCTTTAAGGTATTTTTCATACGCAGTTGACCCTTGAACATCGAGGTGCTTAGGAGCACAGACACCAGACACAGTCAAAAATCCACATATATAACTTTTGACTCCCCAGAAACTTAACTAGTAGCCCATGACTGACCTGAAGCCTTGCTGATTACATAAACAGTCAATTAACACATATTTTGTATTTACGTGAATTACAGACTATATTCTTATAATAAAGCTAAAGAAAATGTTACTAAGAAAATCAATAATGGGGCGCCCAGATGGCTCAGTTAGTTAAGCATCTGCCTTTGGCTTAAGTCATGGTCCTGGAGTCCTGGGATTGGGTCCCACATGGGGCTCCCTGCTCAGCAGGGAGTCTGCTTCTCCTTCTGATACTCTCCCCTCTCATGCTTTCTTTCTCTGTCTCAAATAAATAAATAAAATCTTTAAAAAAATCATAAGTAAGGGAAAATACATTTACACTACTATACTGGATTTATTTTTTAAAAAAAAGTGTATAAGCAGACCTGTGCAGTTCAGACCTCTGTTGTTCAAGGTTCCACTGTATATAGTCATTCAAGAGACAGTGGCAGAGAGCAAGGCAAGGATGCCCACTCTATCCATGATTATTTAACATCACACTGAAAATATGAGTTAATCCAATGAGACAGGAGAACTCACAAGAGGCTTCAGAATTTTAAAAAGAGAAAAAAAAAGAATTAGAAAATTAGTAGAACTACTTTGGGATGAGGATATACGTGGACAACCCTAGAGAACCAATGGCAAGACTTACTCAACCTACTGGAATCAATTAGGCTAAATCATAAACTAGGTAAGGTAACCGGCCATAAAATGAACAGACAGAAGTCCACAGTTTCTAATATACACAAACAATAACCAGACAGATGACATGATGGCAGAGAGAATACCATTTTAATAGTAACAAAGAATATTGGATAATTAGGTATAAATCTAACACAAAATGTGCAAAACCTGTAGGACAGAAACTGGAAAATATTCCTACACAAAAGCCACAAAAGATACTTGATCAAATGGGAAAGCACCCTGGTTAAATTATACATTTATAAATTAGACAAGTTGATACAAAAGTTCAGCTTGAGTTCTCATGGAAAAAGAAAGGTGAAAGAAGAGCTTGAAACACAGAGGAAGAAAAGCTACAGTAAGAAGCCCACCTCCCGTATTAAACAATGGTGTGAAGCCTCCATAAATAAAACCATGAGGTCGTAGCACGTGGACATACTGACTAGTGGAATAGATTGGACAGTCCAGAACAGACCCCAGGACTGCATCATAGAGCAGCACGGCTCAGACCACTGGAGCAAAAAGTCAATATTTCAGTAAATGACACAACTGAGTAGCCACTTGGAAAAAGATAAAACGAGATCCCATACTTTATCTCAGTCACAAGAATAAAGTGCAAATACATCAGAAATCTAAACAGAAAGCATGAAACCATACAAGTTCTACAGGAAGGGACTGCTACTCTAAAGCTGCCCCTAAAGAAGAAAAAAAAGACTGATACGGAATAACTTTAAGGATATACTGTTACATGAAGAAGACCAAAAAAAAAAAAAAAAAAAGGAACATGTCCTACATGAGTATACATAGATGAAAGGAGAAATAAGAAATGTTTATTTTTGTTTATTTGGTTTTGGTTTGGGGTTTGTTGTTGTTTTCTTTTTTCTTTGCAATAGTGCTTTTGCACATCTCCAGTCCCAGCATTTGTGCCGTTGTCCTACATTTTTTTTAATTTTTTTTTAAATTTTATTTTTTATAAACATATAATATATTTTTATCCCCAGGGGTACAGGTCTGTGAATCGCCAGGTTTACACACTTCACAGCACTCACCATAGCACATACCATCCCCAATGTCCATAACCCCACCGCCCCTCTCCCAACCCCCCTCCCCCCATCAACCCTCAGTTTGTTTTGTGAGATTAAGAGTCACTTATGGTTTGTCTCCCTCCCAATCCCATCTTGTTTCATTTACTCTTCTCCTATCCCCTTAACCCCCCCATGTTGCATCTCCTCTCCCTCATATCAGGGAGATCATATGATAGTTGTCTTTCTCCGATTGACTTATTTCACTAAGCATGATACCCTCTAGTTCCATCCATGTCGTCGCAAATGGCAAGATGTCATTTTTTTGATGGCTGTAAAGTATTCCATTGTGTATATATACCACATCTTCTTTATCCATTCATCTGTTGATGGACATCTAGGTTCTTTCCATAGTTTGGCTATTGTAGACATTGCTGCTATAAACATTCGGGTGCACGTGCCCCTTCGGATCACTACGTTTGTATCTTTAGGGTAAATACCCAGCAGTGCAATTGCTGGGTCATAGGGTAGTTCTATTTTCAACATTTTGAGGAACCTCCATGCTGTTTTCCAGAGTGGTTGCACCAGCTTGCATTCCCACCAACAGTGTAGGAGGGTTCCCCTTTCTCCACATCCTCGCCAGCATCTGTCATTTCCTGACTTGTTAATTTTAGCCATTCTGACTGGTGTGAGGTGATATCTCATTGTGCTTTTGATTTGTATTTCCCTGATGCTGAGCGATATGGAGCACTTTTTCATGTGTCTGTTGGCCATCTGGATGTCTTCTTTGCAGAAATGTCTGTTCATGTCCTCTGCCCATTTCTTGATTGGATTATTTGTTCTTTGGGTGTTGAGTTTGCTAAGTTCTTTATAGATTTTGGACACTAGCCCTTTATCTGATATGTCATTTGCAAATATCTTCTCCCATTCTGTCAGTTGTCTTTTGGTTTTGTTAACTGTTTCCTTTGCTGTGCAAAAGCTTTTGATCTTGATGAAATCCCAATAGTTCATTTTTGCCCTTGCTTCCCTTGCCTTTGGCGATGTTCCTAGGAAGATGTTGCTGCCTGTGTTCTCCTCAAGGATTTTGATGGATTCCTTTCTCACATTGAGGTCCTTCATCCATTTTGGGTCTATTTTCGTGTGTGGTGTAAGGAAATGATCCAATTTCATTTTTCTGCATGTGGCTGTCCAATTTTCCCAACACCATTTGTTGAAGAGGCTGTCTTTTTTCCATTGGATATTCTTTCCTGCTTTGTCGAAGATTAGTTGACCATAGAGTTGAGGGTCTATTTCTGGGCTCTCTATTCTGTTCCATTGATCTATGTGTCTGTTTTTGTGCCAGTACCATGCTGTCTTGATGATGACAGCTTTGTAATAGAGCTTGAAGTCCGGAATTGTGATGCCACCAACTTTGGCTTTCTTTTTCAATATTGCTTTGGCTATTCGAGGTCTTTTCTGGTTCCATATAAATTTTAGGATTATTTGTTCCATTTCTTTGAAAAACATGGATGGTACTTTGATAGGAATTGCATTAAATGTGTAGATTGCTTTAGGTAGCATAGACATTTTCACAATATTTATTCTTCCAATCCGGGAGCATGGAACATTTTTCCATTTCTTTGTGTCTTCCTCAATTTCTTTCATGAGTACTTTATAGTTTTCTGTGTATAGATTCTTAGTCTCTTTGGTTAGGTTTATTCCTAGGTATCTTATAGTTTTGAGTGCAATTGTAAATGGGATTGACTCCCTAATTTCTCTTTCTTCTGTCTTGTTGTTGGTGTAGAGAAATGCAACTGATTTCTGGGCATTGATTTTATATCCTGACACTTTACTGAATTCCTGTACAAGTTCTAGCAGTTTTGGAGTGGAGTCTTTTGGGTTTTCCACATATAGTATCATATCATCCGCAAAGAGTGATAGTTTGACTTCTTCTTTGCCGATTTGGATGCCTTTAATTTCCTTTTGTTGTCTGATTGCTGAGGCTAGGACTTCTAGTACTATGTTGAATAGCAGTGGTGATAATGGACATCCCTGCCGTGTTCCTGACCTTAGCGGAAAAGCTTTCAGTTTTTCTCCATTGAGAATGATATTTGTGGTGGGTTTTTCATAGATGGCTTTGATAATATTGAGGTATGTGCCCTCTATCCCTACACTTTGAAGAGTTTTGATCAGGAAGGGATGCTCTACTTTGTCAAATGCTTTTTCAGCATCTATGGAGAGTATCATATGGTTCTTGTTCTTTCTTTTATTAATGTGTTGTATCACATTGATTGATTTGCAGATGTTGAACCAACCTTGCAGCCCTGGAATAAATCCCACTTGGTCGTGGCGAATAATCCTTTTAATGTACTGTTGAATCCTATTGGCTAGTATTTTGGCGAGAATTTTTGCATCTGTGTTCATCAAGGATATTGGTCTGTAGTTCTCTTTTTTGATGGGATCCTTGTCTGGTTTTGGGATCAAGGTGATGCTGGCCTCATAAAATGAGTGTGGAAGTTTTCCTTCCATTTCTATTTTTTGGAACAGTTTCAGGAGAATAGGAATTAGTTCTTCTTTAAATGTTTGGTAGAATTCTCCCGGGAAGCCATCTGGCCCTGGGCTTTTGTTTGTTTGGAGATTTTTGATGACTGTTTCAATCTCCTTACTGGTTATGGGTCTGTTTAGGCTTTCTATTTCTTCCTGGTTCAGTTGTGGTAGTTTATATGTCTCTAGGAATGCATCCATTTCTTCCAGATTGTCAAATTTGTTGGTGTAGAGTTGCTCATAGTATGTTCTTATAATTATCTGTATTTCTTTGGTGTTCGTTGTGATCTCTCCTCTTTCATTCATGATTTTATTTATTTGGGTCCTTTCTCTTTTCTTTTTGATAAGTCTGGCCAGGGGTTTATCGGTCTTATTAATTCTTTCAAAGAACCAGCTCCTAGTTTCGTTGATTTGTTCTATTGTTTTTTTTTTGTTTGTTTCTATTTCATTGATTTCTGCTCTGATCTTTATGATTTCTCTTCTCCTACTGGGTTTAGGCTTTCTTTCTTGTTCTTTCTCCAGCTCTTTTAGGTGTAGGGTTAGGTTGTGTACCTGAGACCTTTCTTGTTTCTTGAGAAAGGCTTGTACCTCTATATATTTTCCTCTCAGGACTGCCTTTGTTGTGTCCCACAGATTTTGAACCGCTGTGTTTTCATTATCATTTGTTTCCATGAATTTTTTCAATTCTTCTTTAATTTCCGGGTCGACCCATTCATTCTTTAGAAGGATGCTGTTTAGCCTCCATGTATTTGGGTTCTTTCC